AGAAATGAAAGAGACTAGATACTTACCAGCTTTATCTTAGCCAGGCCAACAAAAAAAATAAACAAACAACCCATATCGGGGAAATATCATGGATGTGTAATATGGAGTTTTGAATGTAGTTTTCACATGATTAGGAAATTAACGATAGAATGCTTTTTTGGCAAAGATATTTGCATTTGTTTTTCAATGCATTTATTCCTGGAAGAATGAATGCTTCAAGAGACACACAAAAAGATGCACACTTTGCTGCACAGTTTATTTGATAATTGTTTGGCAAAGCAAGAGTTTTACGTTTTTGTTTCTTTTTGTTGGGCTTATTTTGAGAATAATTGATATGAATCATTAGCTAATGAGATTATTAAATCTCTAAACTTGAAACTGCAGCATCTAATACTGATCGTCCTGAGAATGAAAATGAGCTACATCTGGCAGCAAGGTCTTTGATCAGGAGATTGAAGGTTTTCAGGAGCGTGGAAAGACCTCTTAATTGCTGTTGTTCCCAGATCTGAGTGGTAGTACCTGTTAGGATTCTAGTTAGGGGCAAATAGTGAACCCATAAACAAAAACAAAACACTATAGAAGTATGAAAATACATTTTCATAGTAAAAATACCAGCAATGCATTTTCATATAAAAAATTCCAACAATACATATAGTAAAATGATCAACAATACATTTTTAAAAGCAAAATGACCAGCAATACATTTTATCAATACAATTGTGTTCAAAATATCGAGATTTTGGTATTAAATAACTCATCATGATTGATACACTGCTAAACAAAATCAACCAACCAACATGAATTTCATGACATTAATCCATATAATATTCTACAATTTATTAAGGAAATCAAACTGTATTTCCAAATATAACTTAAGCAAAAACTACAGCATAAAACGCACATATCACCACCTCCTAGTAGCTATATCCACACAAACTTGTATACACACAAAAGCTGAGTATGAGCTACCATGTATTCAACTGTGAAAGCAGAATAACATTATCACATTTTTATTACTTCACAGCTCCCAAGAAAATTAAATTTTGGCATTAAATGACCCATGAGGAGTTGATATGCCATTAAACAAATCAACCAATTGACAATCTAATACTGGTTAATTGTAAGAAATTATGGCTTCCAACTAACAGGATTGTTGAATAGATATTATTTTTCTGATGAAGTAATGACAAACAGCTTCAATTTTAATTGGCTAAAAAAAAAAAAACAGGAACAAAAAAGAATTAATATGATTCAAAATTAAATAAAGCTTTGTAGATTAAATAAAAGGTTTGGTTTGAAATTCCCTATAGATTACCTGGCTCAATATACACCTGATGAAGGCTGGAGGACACAACTGCCGAAACATTATGATAACAACAACAAAGATGAGGACAATAGAATAGTGTAAATAAACAAGTTGCTGTTAGTTAAAAATATTTGAGACTTTGTGTTGTTACTGGAAAGCAGAAATCATTTCTTTTCATTAATAATTCTGTTAACATTTTCAGAGAAAGAAAAATGTTCTTGTTTTTATATAAGAATGGATTCATTTCACTTTAGTCAAAGATGTTACAAGTTAGTTGCTCTTCTTGAGTCTTGACAATTGAGAAGGAAGAGATATCCATTGGAATACATTTTATATAGTTTTCAGGCCTTCATTCAGTTCTAATTAATGTGAATATGTTTGCCTAATTCTAAAAGACAAAAGCCATAAGAGACGGACAATTTTTATGTGAGGAATTTTATCTCCTCTTTGATTTGGCTCAAAATAAGACTACAGAATTTCAAGAAAGGTGTCATGAGATGCTTCTTTGTTCCTTGCCATCCTCATTTTGTAATGGCTTGAAATGATGGATAGCAAAAATGAGGTCAAAGTTTCTGTTAATAATGTAAGGAGATGAATCTTGTAACATGAAGCAGTTCTCAACTGTTGCAGAAACCCTTTCTTATGGAGTTTGACATTAACAGGCAAGCTGTATAAAGAGTAAGCCTTTGAGAAAAATATGCTATTTAACAAGGTTCAATGAGGTGAATAATTTGTGGAAGAAATTTGAAATGTTTGATAATGAAAACCAGAAAGGGTCAAATATTTCCTGTTCTGTCTTATTGATAAAATTCATTGAAAGAAGCTCTCATGTCAGGAATAAGATAAAGATCAAGTGTTGGCAAATTATTGCCATCATCCTTATTATTTCTTTGTAATGTCCAGGAAATCTTAAAGACTTGCTTTTTCTCTAAATGTTGTCAATGGTGTTTCATTCATTTAAATTCTACCCGGTCAATAGTCCAATACACTCTTGTGTTTTGTATTAATTCTGGCCATTTTCCTCATTTGCATCTCAATATTATGGTAATAAATAGTGCTTCTTTTGAGCCTGATCAATTGATTTATTTTTTACAGCTTATTAACCTTTTACAGGTTATTTAAAACCAGAAAATAGTTTTGGATTGTAAAAATTTTTTGAAGATACAGATCCTACTACTTAACCCATAGCTGGGGAGAAGGTGAAATCCTACCTTTCCAAATATTATTTGTATGTAAATGAATAATTGGAACTGGACTATCCGATTTCCAACTCCAAGCTCTTACACCACCTGCACATCCAAGTTTTCAGCAGATGGTATTCCTGAGCAGTTACCCATCTAGGTACTGACCAGGTCCAACATTGCTTAATTTTGGTAATTATATTGGAACCAGTGTTTCAACATATGGCTGTAAGCCCCTTTTGAGTCTGATAAAGAGATGATCAGCTGGAATGTGTAAAGGCAATGCCAGTGGGCACAGTGGCACAATACAAGACTTGAGAACTCTAAAGTTTTCTCTTTCTCTTTTTTGCTTGCAAGATCTAAATTTAAATTTTGAAATCCACTTTCAAGACTAATGACTGTTGCTGTTTGTAGTACTTCTTTATTGGTTATGGAACAAACAGCATCTAATTCTGGAAATTCTTTTGACCTTATTTTTTTTTCTTCCCTTTCCTCTCTCTAACACCCCGCCATTCCCCCCACCTCCCAACACTGCCGCTGGAATTCTCATTTTATACATTCACTTCCCGTCATTGTGCACATACCATAAAATCATTTGATATTATTTGCCAAATCGGTAAGCTCATTCTTGCTAACCTTCACATCTACTATGTACAATAAAGTCTAGCTTTCTTTCCCTGTTGAATTAATGAAGCTGCTTCCCAACTGGAATTGTTTCTCTCACTTGTTCTCTTCTGGGCAGACACTAGAGCAAGGAAATCTCATGGTAAATTGTCAAATTAGGCGTGTATTACACCTACCACTTGTGAATTTATCTTTTTACTGATGTGACATCTCATTATTCCTTCTAGAATCTAAAGAAAGGAGACATCTTTGCAAACCTGTTTACTTGTGCCCAGTCAGTGCCTGCTCCACAAACCCTAAGAAATGGGTTGGGATAGAAATTTATATGACAAATGGGACCCACATTAATCTTTCTTTCTTTTTCTTTCTCCACCCTATCCTTGATGTTTACTCCGCCAGATCAGTGTGAAACTATTTCAGGCAACTGAGGACCCATGGTCCAATCATTGGTTCTTGTTCAATCACCAGTGTTAAGCAGTGTTGAGCCCATTCGGTATTTAGATGGGGACTGCTTGGTAACACTGGCTAATTTAACCCACCTCCAATAGCTTGAAATATATTTCAGCTTTAAATAATCAACAATGGGTTGATAAGCTGTAAAATAAAAACAAATCAATCGGGCAACTGATGTTTTTCCCCTTTTGTGCATTGTATTCCCCTCCGTATCCATCGAAAGCAGATAACTGAATGGAAGACTAAACTTTTCCAAATCAAATTAATAAATTACTTTCCTACGGTAAAATGGTAATGCCTTAAGGAAATGTAATTTTGTGTGAAAATCTGAAATTTGCAACAAATATTTAATTTCATAATTGTTATAAGTCTTTAAATAGAACTTTTTTTTTACTAATTCATTTCAGAAAGTTTCTCTGGTGACATTTCATCATCATTAAGTTGTTATGCCATGAAAATGATCTGTTAACTGTCTATATTGTTCATCATAAGATTATTTTGCCAACAGTCTTATTCACCAGCATATTTACTCTGTTTAACCATTGCTTTCTTCTCTAGAAATGCTTTCCATAAGTAAAGAATTCTATTCTCTCTGGTTTCAAAATTTCCTTTTATAGAATCAATGTTGGTCTCACTTTCTAGCTGCCTTTTTAATAAATGCTATTTATCTGTCATCCACTTTTATGCTGCACCACTTTTCTTCATTTCAAAGTTGACATGTCTAGGAGATTTAGTATAGATTGGGTTAGGAGTATGTAGGTAAATCATTAAGTTGAATGACAAAAAGTATTTGACATGCTTTTTAATATAATATTCTACTTTGTCAATACACTTAATTCATTGGTAAATATTAATCCATAATATTAATGTATGTGTTGAACATTATACAGTGAGATCTTTAAAGCAAAACAGTTACTAACTCCATGCCAGGCTGCAGACTTCATGAAGCATGCTTGTAAGTTACTGAGTCAATCTTCAGTCTCATCCTTAGCCAGTCTGAAAGTCAACAGTTTGTGTTATTTCTTTTATCGATCGTAACCTTTGCATGAAACAATCGTCATATCACCATTATAAAGACTAATAGATGAAAGTATTTAACCTCATTCATTTTCAAGACCTCTCAACTGCAGTATACTTATATTTAATTTCACTCAGTTATTTTCTGTTGCCGTAGCAGGATATGACAACACAACTATGAAATTCATACACACTATTGTTCAGGGATCAGTCACCTTCATTGGCAGGATAAACTTTTTGTACAGTAAATGAAATCACATCCACCAAAGTGATAAAGGTTAAAATAATTTCTTCGTAATTTTTTTATGTCACTCCTTTTTCTACTGAAAAATGTTGTAAATGTGAATTGTTTTTGTTGTGTCTTACTGATAGATTTTGTTTGAATGATTAACAAAGAAAGTAATTATTTTCCATTTCAGCTTGCCAGAAAATAGTTCAAACCAGGTATCCCCAAATCATGGCAGCAGTGTCTGCAGCTGCTGCTGGAACCTCAACCCCATCTTCTTCCACTTCCACATTACCAAGTACTCCTAATCATTCACAAAGAAGTTACTTTCAATCAAAACCTTATGATACCCACAGTACAAGCAGCCAATCAACGTCAAGTTCAGGGACACTGGTGACTACGACAGGAACACCTAACAGCAGTGGCCATAGCCTGGCTCAGGTAAGTTATTCTTTTACACTTTCTTTTTATTTGGACTATACCCATGATATGCCTTATCTGTAAGACAAAATGTTTCTCTTGATGTGCCTTATCTGTAAGACAATGTTTCAAAACTTCCTGCTCAGTTACCAGGAAATTTTACAAATAGATTTATCAAGATAAAACATTGTTTTTTTAATTGGGTTTGTAATAATGACATTTGACATTTTTAGCTGCTTCTTGACTCCTATAAGAAATTGTCTTTTTGTTGTGAATACGTCTTTATTCAAAATGTAATAAGACAACACAACTGTAGAGTAATTGGCAGAAATGCCCAACAAACGGAATTGATAAAGAAATCAATAAACAATAAGAAAAGAACAAGGCAAAAATAATACTAAGCAAACTCTTGTGTGTGTATGTATGTATATATATATATATATATATATATATATATAATATGACAAAAGTAGGCAAAGCAACAGTAATAAGGGAAACATTTTTATAAAGTAGGAATGGTGTTAGCACATAAAAGGGATACAGACAACTGATTTCAGCATTCTGACTTCAAGACAAGAAAGAACAGAAATTTGGCTGATGAGATCAAAAAGTGGCCGTACTTATTGACTAGGAAGAAATTCCAGCAGGCATCTGTACAGTTTGTCTATAAATTTAGGGAGGGGAGATGTTTTTGCAATCATTCCTATCAAGATTGAAACAACCACCACCACCACCACCACCAACAACAACAACAAAAAACAGCATCAAATTCTGTGACATATGACAATCATGAGCAACTATAATCTATTGGATGCTACAAATGCTTCACAGTACTCACTCGAAAATGCCTTGATTTACAGGGTTGGACAGGATTTTAAAAAAAAAATTGTGCAAACCTATGTAAAACTTTAGAGTAGCCATTTTTGTAGGTATCTAAAGGTGAGGAAGTAGCTGCAAATCTAGATTCATTTGACTGAACTCCTCGATCATTGACTTCATCACTTAACACAAATATCCTGCTGAATAAGAGCATTGAGTTTGACTTATTTAAAACAGCATGTCATCATCAGTCAACTTTCTCAGCCATTTATCAGACTCCATTTGATCTCTTCCTGCAATTTTAATATCATTAAAATAAGAATGGATTAAGGATCTTCTCTTCATCAACAACAACAACAATTTTTTATTGTATGCCCTCTGAAAGTTTGTTATATCATTAGTGATAGCAAATGATGTTCACATAAACTGCTATAGATTTCTGTTAGCCTCAAAAGCAGTAAATGGTTTGTCATCATCACATGATGATAATTGATATACAGTGTAACCCGGATATAAGAGAGCTGTCGGGGCCGGAAAAGAAGTCTCTTATATCCGGGTTTCTCTTATATCCGGGTCAGGTCTATTTTATATACATTAACATAGGCTCTAATTTGGGACCAGAGAAAACCTCTCTTATATCCGGGTTACACTATATTCTTTGAATCAGATGTTGAAAAAAACATGAGAGTTTGTCATGTTTTTAACAAAAATTTTTAACTTTGGTTGCTGATATGCATCAATTCTACAGACCTGTACATTTTATAATCCTTGTGCTCATCTGTCACAGATATGACTTGTACCTATCAGAGGAATGGACTTGGTTCAATAATTCTCTCTGCTAGCAATTGCTCAACTTCTGAAGCAATAAGGGATGTGTGGGCAAGATAATGGGGACTTGGCTTCGTTGCATTCATTTATGCCCAAATACTCTTGGAAAAGTATGAAAAAGTATCCTCTTCCCAGCTATGGGTTAAATAGTAGGATGTTTAGCTGGAAAAATCATTGTTATTCTCCTAAAATTATTAATGCAATATTCTCTTGCAAAAAAACAAACAAAACTTAGAATCCAAACTGTTTTGACTTTAAATAATCCACAAAGGGCTGATAAGCTATAAAAAAAAGAATTAATCTTAAATAATAAACTGCTGATCAATATCCAGTTTTACATTATTTATTCATATTCACACACACACACACACACACACACATATATATATATATATATATATATATATATATATATCTCATTTAAGCCTTAATAAGAATCATTTATGTAAAAAAAAAAAAGATAAAACTTCCGTAGCAAAAAAAAAATAGAATGCCCAAAATTAAAAATGGTGACATTTTGAGAGAAAACTAAAACGAAAAATAAAAAAAAAAAACAAAAAAAGAGAAATGGCTAAAGAGCGAGTGTAAAGTGAAAACAAAGAAAAGAGCAAGTGATCACAACACCCTACACATACATGCAGATGGGCGGATGCACACACATACGCAAACACACACATGAACAAAAACAATATAGAGAAAACTTGTTCCAAGTGTATAAAAAAGAAAACATTGAAAAAATATAAGCAGTTTATTACTGATACCTCCTGAAGAGTGGACAGACATGTCCATCTATGAAACCCTGGAGTCAGAATGCTGAAGGTAACATCAATCAGCTAAGTGACAAACTTTTACTTTTATATATATATATATATATATATATATATATATATATATATATATATATAGTGATTTTCTAAGCCCGGCTTAGATGTGACCCAAGGCTGAAAGGATCGAACTCACTACTCAGTCGTAATTGATCTAGTAAGACAAGCTTTCTAACCATTACACCACGTCAAGGTGCCCCACTTTGAATTTTTCTGTTTACTTTTTCTGCTTCTCTATTAGAGTCCTTTGAGTTTTGTCATTAAGAGCCATTAAAAAAGGGCAATAAAATAAATTTTGTCTCATAATCCTGAAAGCTATAAACTTGGTACAAATAAAATCCCTTGTTACTGTTAACATGATAAATATATTTCATCAGTCTTTTGTAAAACAGTTTCATAGAATAAAAAGTTTGATAAACTGGTAAGAAAAAAAAAAAATTTTTTTTTAATAATATTGTTCACCTGATACAAGGCGCAATAGCCACTCAAGGTAGAGGGTTAATGAATGAGATTGTTTTAAGAGTGTACAACGAAGCGGTTTTTCCATAACATAACAGGGTGGTAGCACCTGTTAGGGCCCTAGCTATGGGCAAATAGTGAACCCCCACAAACACTATGAAAGTATAAAAGTATATAACTTTATAGCAAAAATACCAGCAATACATTTTTATATAGTAAAATAACCAACAGTACCTATTTATAGTAAAATGACCAACAATGCATTTTATCTGTAATTGACGGCATACAAATTCATTCAAAATATTTAGATTTCTGTATTAAATAACCCATAGAGGTTTCTTATGCCGCTAAACAAAACCAACCAACCATAACCTAACAGTCTTGGAAGAAGGCAGAAGCTGTCTGTGTGGCACTTCCGCCTTACCAATGGAATACAAAAGGAATGAGGATGAGGACTCAATGTATGTGGCGTGACAGGTTCTAGGTCTGGACTGGTGGAACTAAGGAATGTAGCATGTTTAAATATCTATCATGAACATATTGATAGATTAACAAGAGGTGAGCAATGTTTCCTCCATGGGAATGGTGGAAAAAAATTCATCACCCACAAGGCCATATAAACAGTAAAAAAAACTATTAAAGCTAGAAAGTGAGGATTGGGCAGCTTCAGACCAGGTGTGGCAGCAATACTCCATTTTTGGTTAGGTCTGACTCTTGTGAAGTTAGAGCATGGTAAGAGAAATCAGATGCTTTCTGGACTGATACATACCATTTTTCCAGCATCTTTAGCGATGGGTCCCATGTAAGAGTTCCATTTGATGTCTGGAGTGAGTTTGAGTTCCAATAGATTCTTAAGTCAAGTATCTTCATCAAGAGTATAGCTGTTCATCATGACTGGAGAAAACTCAGGATCTGCTTGTTGATGATGAAACATTACTAGCTTGGTTTTTACAAATCAGTTCCTCCTCCATTAACCTGTGTGATCTAGCTCAGAGTGAAGATCAGCTGACAGGCTCTGGTCATCTGATTTTTTGAAGTGCACCACTAAACGGTGCTATCATCATCATCATCATATATATATATATATATATATATATATATTCACTCATGATCTCGGAGTGTTCTCTGGCAGATTGTTAATATAAAGCAGAGAGATGGTAGAACTGAGGAGAGTCTAAATTTATGTGATTTTACTTTTAAAAGGTTTCTTTTAACTTTAATTATGCAAAGACTTACACATTGCTATTTTTTTAAAAATTGTAATATATTGACCGAGCTTTGTATTTGTTTTCATCTATATAATAAATTCAAATGTCAATGTGTCACACTTTTTCAACTTTACTCCTAGAAACTGTAGCCCAACATATCATACCATTTTAGAATCGGATTGACTCCACAAGCAAATTAGAAATATTCTGAGCCAGATCCAGACCCGCAATCCTGAAATTTTGGATTCCCAAGTTTTTATTTTCATTATTGTGATTGTTTTCAGCAAGGTTTTTACTTTTTTTTTTTTTTTTTTTTTTTTTTTTTTTTTTTTTTTTTTTTTTTTTTTTTTTAAATGTGATTTTTTTGTGTTCATTTTTTTTTTTTTAAATAACAATTTTTATTACTTGGAAATGAATATGGAAATAATCAAAATTGTGAAAGTTAACCAAGAAATAAAAAAATTGTTTGTATGGAAAGTAAGGACCTACGTACATCAAATTGTTTTTAAATTAAATGGTGACAGAATAAATTTTAAAAGATACTCTTAAATATTAATGCAATACTTAAATGCAGTGATCAATTTTGAGTTTTTCTGTAGTTTATTGTTGCCTATTGTCTACTCTTCCCTACCTATTATGATGAAGGCCCATTCAAGAGCCCTATGGGACTATTGGGTGGCTTTTAAGCTAGTTAAAAATATATCTTTGTTCATAATTTATAGTTTGCTGTTTTGCAGAAATCACTTTTAATATTATGGTTACTTTTTTTCTATATTTAATAATAATAAAAAAAAAACAAAAAAAACTGAGTGGTCAAGTTAAAAAAAATATTTAATTTTTTTATCCTACAACTTTTGTTAATCATATCCATAAAGATCTTTTT